TCGTATTAGGGGGGTTGGTAATTTTCTTCTCCTCCTTGATTGCTCCAGGAAGTCTCAAGGTAATATCACTCAGGTGGTGGTGGATACCTCCAATGGTTGGAGAAGCCATGAGGATCCATGTTTCAGATCTGCGCCATTGTGGTTCCACCTCCACAGCGCCTGAGGATCTTTCTTGAGTCCATTTTCGGCTTCGCCGGGACGCAGTTCCCAGCGGACTCGAAAGAGTCGGCAGCAATCTCTTGGACGAATGAGTCAGCGGCCGCGATCTCACGGGTTGGAAGAGTGAGCGACGAAAGCTAGGGATTTGGAAGAGCTAGCGGAGCCAAAACTTAATTGTTTCCCAGTTCCCAAATCCCAATTTTAGTTAGAAAAAATAGCCATGGCCCGGAAAAATATATAGACAATCATTAACTTTTATGAGCAAACATAACCAATAAATTTGGTGAGAAAATTATTTTGTTGCTTTATTACCAATATTTTTAGTAATGTAAACTTTAATTTGGCCACAATTTTTTTTTCTTTGTAAGTGACTATTTTAGCATGTTTATGTGAGCAAAAATATTAGTTACTTTAAAAAGCATTAAGGATAATAAATAAATAGTTTTGGTTAGAAAAAAAATTAATATTTTATTACTAAATTTTTTGGTCATATAAATTTTAATTTGGTTATAAGAGCTCTTTTTTTAGTTAGTGACCAATTCATTAAACTTCTCATTACTAAAATATAATTGGTCATTCCCTAAAAAATATATATATAATATATATATATATATATATATAAAAATAAGCCTTTGCCGACCAAAAAAATTTGGGTGTGCCTATGGTGACATGCATGTCACGGTGACTTGCACTTTCAGGTCGACCTCAGTTAGGATTAGGTCGACCTCACATAGAATTCGGTCGACCTCATATAGGATCCGGTCGACCTCATTTAGGATTCGGTCGACCTCATATAGGATCCGGTCGACCTAATATGTTGTTTCAGTGTAAAAACAGTTCATGGTGCCTACTTTGGATATTCATATCATACAATTGGCTAGATGGAAATTGAAGACTAATGACTTGTTTTGAAGCTGGAGTGTCCCTCTACATATTGAAGTGATTGAGAGCTCGATAGGAAGTCCAGAAGACCATTTTTGAACCTCATCAAAAGGCTATGCCAAAACTGGGAAACTGCCTAGAAATGGCTAAGTCTGGAAACGTGTTTGTGAAGCCTATTTTTGAGCTCAATTCGAGAAGAATGAATGCGAGTCGGGTCCAGGAGCCTCTACCACGTTAAATTAGGTATATTTTTATACAAATTCAAGGAATTGGATGAAATATTGGATATATTTAAGGCTTCAAACAAAAGGGTCGAAGTTGCTACGAAGGCTGTTTTTCTGGCAGACTTCGAGCACAAGCAAGCTGCCAGAAAAACAGCCTTCGTAGCAACTTCGAGCCTTTTGTTTGAAGCCTTAAAGATATTCAATGTTTCATTCAATGCCTTGCCTTTGTATAAAAAAATACGTAATTTAACGTGGTAAAGGCCCCTGGACTTGACTCGCATTCATGCTTGTCAAATTGAGCTCCAAAGTAGGCTTGACAAACACGTTGCCAGACTTAGCCATTTTCAGGCAGTTTCCCAGTTTTGGCATAGCCTTATGGTCAGGTTCAAAAATGGTCTTCTGGACTTTCTATTGAGCTCCCAAGTACTTTAATGTGTAGAGGGACACTTCAGCTTCAAAACAAGCCTTTAATCTCCAATTTCCATCTAGCCAATTGTAAGATATGAATCTTCAAAGTAGGCACCATGAAACTGTTTGTACACTGAAACAACTGATTAGGTCAACCTGATCCTATATGAGGTCGACCGAAAAGTGCATGTCACCGTGACATGCATGTCACCGTAGCAAAGTCCAAAAAATTTAGTTACATGAAAATAGTCACAAAAGGCCATATTTGTTGTAGTGCTTCCATCTTGTTTGTCGTCTGGTGAAGCCACCTCAAATATTTGAAGTCCTTTGACTCGCTAAGAGTTTGCATTACGATTTAAATTGTGACTGCATCTAGTACCCAGTTCACAAGTATGGAGGATTGTGCTTTGGCAGTGTTGATCAATTTCAAACGGTCAAAATTGGATACACGAGAGGACAAATTTAGGTGGATCTTCAGGATTTCCATGATATCAACTAGTGCAGTTGCTGCAGGAGAGAGAGCCAGTATCAACCAGGGGATTTAGACATGCATACTATTACTGCTTCCGAGCAATTTATCAACCAGGGGGCAGAAAATTTCTTGTAGTAATGGGAATTAGACATGCATGATGATTTCATTCAAATGTCACCTATTTATTCGCTTATGCATTGGTCACAAGTCAGGAGAAGTGTTAGGTGATCGTATACCTTTAACAATCGTTTGATTTCTTTCATGATTTGTACACTTTTTATCCCCATTTTTCTAAGACGTTTGATGTTTTTTGTACTCCACGAGTTGTGGTTTTACGCTAGGTTGTGCTTTGTTTTAGTATGTTTCAGACCCTAGCAGGTGGAACTATCCGTGGAATCGAAAGAGGGACGAAAAGGCGCGAAAACAAGTCAAAGAGGGGAAGCAGCTGAGGATCACGACCCAAGAAGAGTTTTCACGATCATAGGACCGTGATAAGAGCTCCTAGACCGTGAAGCGCCAAGGGTCCAGGAGCATTTGCACGTCTCGCGTGAACCCAGTCAGTTCACGGTAGTAAGACCGTGAACTGACTAAATTAAACGGCGAGTATCAGTTCGACATCACGATCCAGGAGGAATGTTCACGAACGTGAACTGACCGCGACCTAAGTATAAAAGGGGGGCTGAGCTGAAGGAAAATGGGGGAGACCCAGTGTGAGAAACTTCTTCTTTTTCAGATTTCTAGAGTGAGAAAGTCACAAACCAAAGAATAGAAGAAGATAGGGTTTCATCTTCAAGCAAGGTTTTGGTAATTCTTTCCCCAAAGGAGGATCTCTTCAACACAAGGAGCAAGGCTAGCATCTCCATGATGGTCTCCCTTCTTCTCCCTTGTGTTTTTCCTTCTCCTAGCATGGAGTATTCCCTTCTTTCACTTGGGTGTTTGTAAACCCTAACTACAATTATGTGAATATTTGTATGGGTTGAATGATTTGAGGCATGCATGTGTTTTAATATGAATTTCGAGGTATTTTCATGGAAGATTGTGTTCTGTGTTAGCGTATCAATTTATTTGCAATTCTAACCTAGGTAGAGAGAAAACTCCCTTTCTTTGAAAAAGGCTTGCAAAGCTGGATTTTCTTAGGCAAATCTTATCTCCTATCTAGGTTAATGTAGGGCAACCCTCTTTGTTAGTATTAGCACCTAGGGTTGGTTGTAATTCAGCCGTTCGAACTCCGATTCGAGGGTGAAGTCGTGGCAACCCTTGGTCAATAGGTCAAGAGAGCTACTTTGGCGGCTTGAATCGAATTTCCTTGACCTATTGACCAAGAGAGTAGCGTTTGTTCACTTGTTGCACTTCCCTGCGATTTACAACCTCCTTACCACATGTGACCATTCGATCCGACAAGTCATAATTGCTAGCTAGGGGGAGCAACACATGGGTGAAACCTTCTCAATTAGTGTCAAATCCATTTACTTTTCCAAACGTTTTAGCTATAGATTGTTGTTTTCACCAAAAACCAATCGCTAGATAATATTTCAAACAATCGAAGTAGGGGTACATGGACCGGCCTGAGTTGATATTTAAGCATACTTGCCCTATATTGCACCCAATTAAGGTTTATACTGGGCACTAATTGGGAGTTTTATTGTTATATTCGGGACGAGTCAGGATGTTTAGATTTTTTGGTCTGGTATTGATAGATCGTGGTTTTGTCAGATCAGACCGCAGACTCAACTCACTCCCCAAAATAAATGAAAATTATGTAGCTAAAACAAATGAAAAATCTATCAGACGGGTGGCTTTAGCTTCTAAAACATTTGGAAAAAGTGTTCCGATGAACTCAACCCACTCCCACTCTCTAACGAAACCTAAGTCCCAATCCTAATTTTGCAAATCTACTCCCTACTTCATTTCCAAATCACACTCTACCAGAGAGCAATGATTGTAAAACCGTACCAGAGGTTTTATCGAGAAAGTTAGTGGTAGGGTATTTTGAATTAAAATCGTTGATTAACTGTTTCCTACAACTAAAACCGTTAGCCTGTTTGGGTCCGGTACCAGGTATTTCCGGTCCGACTAACTTGTATGGTAGGGTTTCTAAAATTTTGCTAGAGAGTAGAGATAATTGCCTCTTCATACGACATTATGTTAATGTTTATGAAATTATGGTGGAATTTGGGTAGCTCTTACTTTGGATTTTTATGAGTATGGCCCCTAATTTGTGCTACAACCCCTCAATTTGAATCGTAGACCGTATGTATGGTATATTCTGATTCAGACCGCATAATTTCCTACCCCTACATCGGGAAGGAGATGGAGTTATGATTTGTAGAAAATGTTGCCTGTCAAGATTTGCATAATGTAGTTATGTGGAGAATGATCGTTGAATATGTCTATTCTGCTGGTGTTTAGGTACAGTTTGGCTTAGGAGCATGGTGATTTGGTTAAAGTACAGTACCGATCAGTCGTTTAGGGAAATCGTGGTCAAAGCAATACTCCCCGTCGCCAAGGAAAAGGAAGACAACAAATGAACCTGCAAAACCAAGTGAAGTGTTCATCCAGTATCCTTGTCCTTCCTCTCTTCTCGTGGCTTTTTCACCTTCAGTTCCATTCTCACCGTTGTGCAGATAATCGATATTATTTATTATTTTGGGGGCAGTTGAGTTTTGGAATGGAAGATCCTTAAACCTTGATACACAGAGCACGATTCTGCAAGGCGCCCAGATTACCTGCAGAGACTTGTTATTTGGTCGTAAACTGCTGTGCCCAAGAAATGAGTGGTTTGTCGTACTTGGCGAATATGAGATTGTATTCAACTACGAGGTTAACTTATGCTATCAGTAAGCGCAACGAGAAGCTATTGAGAGATGCACCATCATTGCCCAAGGATATGGATTACCCACCCAATGTAGGGCTTAACTATAAAGTACCCATCACCCGTGAATACAAACTTTGCCGACTCAGCTCACTGTATCCGGGGAAAAGAAAAACCGCTCATCATCTTTATTTTTGAGCAAGTTACACATATCAAGAAGCCTGTTTGGGCTCATACTCACGCCTAACATATGTAGAAACATATATCAAGAAGCGTGCATTTTGGGGATTGACATCAACAAAACATGTTAAAAGGACAATTATGTAACCAAAACAAATGAAAATTCTGTCGAATGGATGGCTTCAGCTTCAAAACATTTGGGAAATGGTGCACCGATGGTGCAAAGCATTCTATGTGATGACAGTGGGAGCAGATCGGCCAGTGTATTCTTCCATCTTGGAGAGTTTCAACGCTACCTCCACCTGTGTGAGAAAAAAGGCCATGAATGAGCGTGCCTGGAGTTGATAAAATAGTACATCATTAAATGGCTTTAGCTTTAGGTTCAAATTTTACCAGAGGAGAAAGTGCTTCTTGAGAATCTCTACCAATATTTGATGGATCCTTTTCATACTGTTCAATGTAGAGACGGATGGTTGCACCCACAGATCCCGTTCCTGAGAGGCGGAAAACCTACATATGCATACCACACATTTCAGGAAAAACAGCTGCGAGAACGCGACATGGAGCAGAGGGACCCTAAAAGTTGTTGAATCTCATCGGGTAACCATGTTAACAGGATGTGGAGCTTACCAGTCGAGAGCCATCCGCGAACAGATATCGAACACCCTGGTGTGCAGAGATGGAACCATCGACAGGATCTTTGTATTCAAATTCATCAGCATGGGCAACCTTGGAGACATCTGGCCGTATCCCCTTCACCATCCTGTATCAATAATTAATAGTTCAGGTATTGCATTGTACCAGAGCAGCATGGTAAATTACAAGTAAATTTCAATGGACAAGCACATGCCTTTGAGGTAAATATACAAGTCTATCTTATCACATGGAGATGGGGATGGTAGGGTTAGGGTCGCTTCAGATGATTGTAAACAGGTGGGATAGTAAAGAGAGTCTGGTTCCATTTAACTTCAAATGCAAAAGAAGCACCCGGAGAAGAGACAGAACTTTTATCAAACAGTAAAAGTCAAAAGTAACCTGAAGGGTTTCAGGTCATAGGACATACTCATTAACTACAGTAAGATTTGATTGGAGGTTGACCAAGTTAGCCATCAGTTCTTTAGCTGCACCTGCATCAACATTCTTCAGACGACCAGAAAATTAGATGTCAATTAAAGATCTATCGTTCTATATAAACTACAATATCACATACTAAAGAATGTCCTATTCAAGGAAACATCATAGTACCTCATAATCATAACGAGTATAATAGTGACGACCATAAGTAGCCCAATGCTTGCGGACTATATCTTCTACAGTCACAAGCTTTCCACCCCTGAGATTGTCCTTATTTTTGTAAGCCAATATGGATAACCACGCCAGGACAGCCCAAATTCCATCTTTCTCACGAATATGATCAGAGCCTGATCAGGCATAAAACATAGTCATAAGATAACTTCCAACTTTTTAAACAGCGTATCTCAGGTAGCATTCAATTAACAGGGAATACACACGAACCAGTTCCGAAACTTTCTTCACCACAAACAGAACATAAACCAGCATCCATCAAGTTACCAAAGAACTTCCAGCCTGTTGGGACCTGGCATAGAATAGGCAAAGCTATCAATACATTACATCAGGCACGGCCTGTACTCCATTCCGAGGAAGTTTGTCATATAATACCTCAAAAAATTTCAAGTTCAGACTTTTCGCCACAACATCAAGGGCAGCTGACGTTGGCATGCTCCTGAAATTGAAAAAAAGAAACATTAGATAGAGAGCTTAGAAAAGATACGGAATTCCAACCTTTACTCGGACTTTTTGCCCAACAAACCAGCTAAGAATACTCTTGTGAATACTGATCTACGATCTGGAATAGTCCAAGTGACTTGCTTGGCAAATTTCCGTACTTGCATGACAGAATCCCAAATGTTGTTACTTAATTTGCTAAGGTAAAGAGCCTGGAGCAACATAGAAATAGGTAGCCAACCAAGTACGGTATCTCACCTGGCAACTCCCTTCAGCCCAGAAGAGAAGTAGGGGATGGATTCAACTGCATTTGCAGCAATTATAGCCACAGAATCTGACGGGGTAACAAAGAACCTAGAAGATGCATATTGTCAGTCGGATATTTAAACTGCAGCATATTCATAGCATTATTAGAAATTGGTACCTTTTACCCAGGATCATGTTGCGATCTGCATCACCATCTGCAGCAGCCCCAAATTCTGGTGGTTCAACATCAGTGTTAGATTTTCCGAGGCCCATCCTTGCAACTAACTCCTTCGCATATGTGAGATTGGGATCTGGATGCCCTCCTCCAAAGTCTTCCTGAAATTAAACAAGCAGAATGGCTGTAGGTATAATTCTTGGGATGCAAGAACAAGCTTTCTATCCACCAAGAAATTACCACGACCTACCTTGGGAACACAGTTCAACAATGCAGACTCTTGTGCACAAAGCTCCTCGACAAAAATGCGATGTGCATAAGCACCAGCAACTCCATGTAGCGCATCATAGCTTCAACATGATAATCAACACTACTCATTAAGGAATTATTAAAAAACTGATGTGAAAATGTTAATGAAAGGATGTCGGCAGCATACCAAAAACTGAAGTTTGGACTTGTTATCAGCTTCTTGATTGACTGAAAGTCAAAAATAGTCCTGGTACAATTGGAGTATAGTCAAACATCTTGAAGAACAGTTAATCAGCAGTTAGACTGTACTTCACAAATGACTAATTCCGTTCTTGAAATTGTATGAAGGGAGTCAAGCAATACCTGCTTTTTTAATAGGTACTCCAGGCAGACTCATAGATAGAAATATACCAAATGACATAGTGTTTACAATCATTTCAAAAATCATACAAGAATATCTTGATGGACGAATGAAAGCCTATAAATGTTTTGGTCAAGAATTTTGTATGCCAATAACTTGACAAGTAAATGCAAGCAAACAGAATTTTTAATAGTAACTTAAAGCACATATTTGTCAGAGAAAAAAGAGCAATATCTAGGAGCCTGACTTTAAAGAGCAAAACGGAGGAAACTTCTCAATATTACCATGAACCAGATTCTAAAGTCTTTTTTTCCTTTTCCTTTCTCTTCCGTTTCATATTTGTTAATCTTGCTTCAACAAAATGGTGAGCTGTCACCTTGTTACTTCACCATCAGGACGCTGTAACCGTCTTCATTTAATGTTACTTATTCAGGACTGCCACCAAGCAAAATCTGCTACAGTATGTCTTCAATCTAAGGCCAAAATGCATGTCTACTGATGTCTAAGAACATATGGGATAAGAGTACATTTCGGGGGATGAGTTGTCAGTTATGAGAAGAACTGCTTACTTCATCAATTTTACATAATCACTTGCGGAGTCAAAAACTTCCACATCAAATTTTCCTTCAGGGCCTGAAAAGCTAGTAACACCAATTGAAGAAATATCTACCTGAATGCAAGGAAGAAATCCTCAGTATGTACGAATAACATGGCATTCAAGTATAAAATTTTATGTGTAAAGAGGTCTGAAAATGCAGCGGAAGAAAGGAATTACATCTGGAACATCAGATGTTAAATACTCCTTTATTGTTTTAGTGTTCTCATAAATCTTATCCGTGATTCCTTCTGGAGCTGGACCACCATTTTCCATGTTATATTTGATCCCAAAATCCTGAAGAAGAGGAGTTAGTAACAAAACTACGAGTATGATCATACAGGCCACTGAAAGTTGAAAAAACGACATGCAAACAAAATAAGGCCACCTAGTTGATTGAGATTGAATAACAGGAAATCTAAAAAATTAAAGTGGAATCTATTTGTCTCATTTCAGGGGTTTAAGTGTATCCTCTTCCTTTAATTGAAATGCTCTAATATACCTATACACATTTGCCACATCATTGTAAAATGTGAATTTTCGAGGAAAAAGGAAAAGAAAGGAATCTTAAGATGGTTACCTCATCAGGGCCTCCTGGATTGTGACTTGCTGTTAATATAAACGCGCCTGTTGCCTTGGATCCCTGACATTTAAGATCATAAGAAGGGAACAGGATAGTTAGGAACAAAAGTTCCAATCATGAAAATGGAAGGAAAAGAATCAGTAACTTACATCTGCTCCAACTCTTTCACGAATCACAGCAGAGACAGCAGGAGTTGAAAGCAACGAATTCTGACCAACCCAAACACGCCTCACCCCATTGGCAGCTGCCATTTTGACAATTATCTGTACAGGAAACAAACAGAAGTTTCAGAAAATCATGAATCAGCGTTGACCACAATATACACCAGTTTCAACCTTCCAACATCACAATGAGCCGTACATTGATGGAATTATTCCCCACTTGATTCAACTTAAAAGCAACATAAGAGAAAACTAAGCTGCCAATAGCTAGGTTATATCGTAAGAAAGTTGTCTAATCACAGTAGGCATGAATATACAATGATTTTTGTATCCTCAACCCATCTAGCTCACATATAGCACCACTAAGTTCTCCAGAATGTAATGGGAAAACACAACTTCATTTCATATAAGTAGTTCAATTATCTAGCCTGCATTTGAGGAAAGAATAATATTTAATCTCCGGAGACAACTTTGCATATAGTGCACCAACTAGAGGCCTTCTTCATTGGCTCAGCACAATAATTCTGGCCATTGAAGAAAAATATTAAGGGCACAATTTTCCATACTGCGCATCACTTGCTCATCGTAAATCCTGCAACTCTTACCATTTACAAGTAGCCTAATAGGTGAGAAAACGAAAGTTGATTGATAATCAAATAACCCTAAGGACCACAGAAAATATTTAGAGTGTTCAGATGTATGTTATTTATAGTACCTGAACGGCATCCTTAGAATAATAACGGCCATCTCCAGAAACAACAAGTGTGGCACCTGGTTATCAAAAGCACATACCCAAGAGACAAAAGGGTTATTCAAATCACCATCATACGGCAAGCTTCTTAACATAGGGTAAGAAAACTAGGTTTCAAAAAATGAAGGCAATCCTCAATAACTCAAAAGCTGAGTGTGAAGAATCCCTTCGACAACAACATAAAATGTAATGTCTATACTAGTCAATCGAGTAAAATAGCATCATTCCTCTGAAACTCATAAAAAGAAAATCATTCCTCTGCAAAGCATCATTCTTAGCAAGCTGTAGACCCCAAACCATCATAAACGTTGATGGAACTAAAAACCCAAAAGCAATTTGTTCTACATAGACCAGAGGATGAGCCACAATTTATAAACATGCAAGGATCTGAACTAATCCCCTGACATTGGAGCACATGATGGAGGACAGTGAAATGCGGTCAAGTTCCAGGAGTTATCATGCGTAGACCAGAGGATGTCCATTATCTTCGACGTAGAACGAGTCAATTACATGAATAGAACATAGGCATCAAAGATACGAGAACTGGCAGACTTGTCAATGCAAATTGTCATAGCAGCTTAATTAAAAACAACCAAGAAAAACAATACCTCTCACTTTTTCTGCTGTGAGGGCATTGAATGTTGATTGAACGAAATTCTCCAAGTAATGTGGTTGCATGAAAACTTTCACCTGGCAACAATAAGAAGACTATGTCAGCACTTAGCGAATCACAATGTATATGGCATATCTGCAATGATCCTCGGGTATCTGATGCGAAACTACATTAAACACCTGTACGGAATTGGTAAACTACAGTAACTAAAAGTGCTCCAGTAACCATGATCAAGATCAATACACCAGTTAGCTTCAGATCTAAATAAACAAATAAACAAGAGTCCCGGAAATCAAACCAGAAAAGGCGCAAAAGTCATCAACTCAATTATCTGTCCTAAGATCAGGCTCACAGGATCTCATCTCTTAAGGGGAAGCCACGATTACACACAGCACTAATTGAAAGCATCAACTGCAAGGGAATGGATCCACGTTCAGCCAAAAACAAACAACAATTCACGTCACGAGTGGGACTGAATCCTGATGCAGGATGAGCATCAGAATTTCCGGTACGAATGGATGAAGAACGAAATGCGAGAAGCAGCGACAACGATAGATAGGGAAAGAAAAAAAAACGAAGGCAGAGAGATTGAGAGAGACCTTCTTTCGTAGGCCAGAAGTTCCGGGCTTCTGGCCATCGATCGGCGAAGACTGTACAGTGGAGACCTTGAATGCCATTGCTTTCTTCTGGTTTTCTCACCTCAGAGAACTTCGGAGAACAAGAGTTTGGCTTGCGGAGGTAAAGCGGGAGAAGGGACAAAGAGGGTGAACTTCGGAAGGTAGGAAGGAGTTACGGTTACGTAAAGGGATGGGAAATGAGCGCTTCTGGAGGAACAGAGAGAGAGACAAGAAGTGGTGAGTGATGGCTCTCTGGGGGCTTTAAAACTCGGGTTTTCAGGACGAATAGATCCAGAAAAAAAAAAGGGGAAAAACATAAACAGACCGATAGCTCTGAAATCACGTGGCGGGAGGTGTAAAATCAAAGTCCGAGAGGGAGGAAGTAATATTTGTTTTATGCGGGTGGGCATTGGGTTCCATTATATCCGAATCGAACCGTCGAAACCGAACAAAAACTGAATCGAACCAAGTCGAAACTGAACAAAAACTGAAATAGTAGTTCGGTTCGGAATTAGGAAAAGAAATGTGGTTATTTCGGAAACCAAAATTCTTTCAACCGAATCGAATTTTCGAATTCCGAACCGAAAATCAAAATTTGCCCATAACAGCCCAATCCTAAACCACTCTCTTACCCACATCCCACTGAAACCCTAGCCCAGCCCATATAAAACCTAGGCCCACGCCACAATACCCAAACCCCATCTCGTCCCACCTCTCACAGCGCCCACTCTTCTCACCCACAACCCTAGCCCAGCCCACTGAAATCCTAGACAAAACCCATCTCGTCCCACCTTAGATCTCACACAGTGGCCGCCACGACGGAAGAGGAGAGGAGCAAAGAGAGTAGAGACAGAGAGGGAAGTTCGAGGTCGAGGGAGAGAGAGGAGAGGCCAGAGCCGGAGAGAGGGATTGGTGGTCGTCTTCTACAGATTCTTCCGAGAGAGCGAGAGCCAGAGAGGAAGCAGAGGAAGGAGATAGTGGCGGCGACAGGAGACATGCAGAACGAGCAGAGATTGGTCGGAGTCGGAGAGATCTCAAGGCGTTGGATTTGAAGCAAAGGGAAGGTAGAAGCTGAGGGCGAGTAGGCGAAACAGAAGAAGATGATGCTTCTAGGGTGGCGGTTTCCAATGACTGATTGTCTCGTTCTGAATACCACAATAAAAATCTCAATCAAGGCCCAAGTATAAACCTTAATTGGGTGCAATATAGGGCAAGTATGTTTTAAAAGTCAAACTCTGGCCGGCCATGTACCCCTACTTTGATTGTTTGAAACATTATTTAGCAATTGGTTTTTGGTTGAAACTACGATTCACCTGATCGCATTCCCAGCAAGAGAGTAGGGGAATAGCCCCAACTTCAAATCATCTTCGGGCACCTCATTTATCTTCAAACTTCCCGCAATCTCGATAAACCTCTGAACATCTCGGAGACTCATCTCTAAGCCTATGGAATTGCACATTGTTTTGGATCATTCTGACGAGATCCGCTTGATATCGAAATTGTTGGCGGCCACGGGCGGATGCAAAATGGTAGGTTGAATATCAGCCGCCCGTGGAGCCATATAGTAGCTCATGGTCCACGGTTGCTCTGCAGCTACCGCTTGAGCTTCTTGATTAGTCGCCATCTCGACTTCACTTCCTTTCTCTTCGGATTCAAACTCTTCCTCAACTACAACTCCTTCAACTCCAGGACCAACTTGTGGTTGTCCCCTCTCGTCTATCCTTCTTCTTGCTTCTACCAGCTCCCTCTCACGAGCCAAGAGTCGGAGAGTGCGGTTGGGATTCTCGTCTAGTGGCGCTAAAGGTGTCGGATTACTCCGGGTCATACACCCTCCTGCACACACTTCAAAGAAACACAACTCGTCTAACACAACCAAGATTCACAAACACAAAGTAAAACTTAGATTAACACAAAACAATCTTTTCAAAATAATGGACCGGAAGTTCCCCGACAACGGTGCCAAAAACTTGACTCGTCCCGAATACCACAATAAAAATCTCAATCAAGGCGCAAGTATAAACCTTAATTGGGTGCAATATAGGGCATGTATGTTTTGAAAGTCAAACCCTCGCCGGTCATGTACCCCTACTTCGATTGTTTGAAACATTATCCAGCAATTGGTTTTTGGTTGAAACTACAATTCGAAATTAGTTGAGGAGGTCTTGAACTCACAGCTTCCACCATGATCAGTCGTTGTCCTCTCCTTTGGCCCATTTTCCCTCCTTTTCATCGAACTTTCGTTCCCTGGGTTGATTTACCTGCTAGGATCTGAAAAATAGCAAAACAAAACACAACCTAGCGTAAAACCAAACCCCATTGGGTGAAATCGCCTCAAACATCTAAGAAAAAAGGGGGTAAAATGTGTGCATTTTGACCCGAATGTCTGATGTTGATACTGGAGAGGGGAGAACGAATAGTTGAAGGTAGTCAGCGGCATGCGATAGAGGGGAAACATAAGAGTGAGAAGGACAGCGAAAAAATAAGGATTGGGAAGAGAGAGAGGGGGATAAATAAATGGTTCGAGTTTTGAGGCTTTTGACGCATAACATAAGGAGGGGAGGGTGCAAATTTGGTTGGGTCTGAAAACCGATTCCGAACATAATATATTTCAGTTCGGCCAAACTGAACCGAAAAATAAATTTTGGTTCGAATCGGTTTGAGAATTGTTGCGAATCAAGGACTCGGTATGCTACATTTTGATTCGGTTTTGACCGAACCAAGCTGATGCGACGCGAGGATAATTTGTTTTCAATCCAACTCCTCCTATCTTTATAGTTTATACCAATCTTTGTTGAATTTCACATCCCTCTATAATATATAGAGGTACATTAGGAGATTTTGAGCATTTCAAATTCCTTGCACTCTCATTAACTGTAGCTAGGGGTAAATTTGTAAGTTCAACTTAGAACTTAAATATTTTCTTACGAGAAAAAAAATGTCATTTCAAAGACTTGAACTCAAGTCCTTCAGATTGATAGTCAATATCCCTAACCAACTGGACTCCAACAATGTTTATGTATTTTTTGAATTAAAGAGAGAAAATACTGAAATATCTCAAAATCATATGACTATCCACCGCAACAATCAATCATCGAATTAATTAATAACTGTAATTATTTACAATGTGCGTTCCTCTAATCATCAAAATCATGATATACCTAGCTTATGAATCAACTAAGTGAGTTCCTCTAATCACACAATTCTTCACCAAGAATCAAATAGTACATTTTGAGTTTATGTATGCCATACAACTTTTACATTTATTAGGTTACATGACTTTGTAGTTTTTTTTTTATAATGTACATGACTTTGTAGTTTGTAGGAATACAACGATTGTATACAAAAGTGCTATTTAAAATCTTATTTCAAAACATAAAATTTGACATTTGTGATGTATGGTTTTGTAACGAGACATTTTCAATGTTATAAGTGAATGACCAAAAATCATTGGGTAACAATTTCCCTAATGGTTGACAATTATAAGCATAGAATTGAAAGACTAAATACTGTTGACAAATGAGCCAATTATCATTGGCTAAATTTAACAAACAATGGTATGTGTATATACATTGGAAATTCTATGGTACGCTCGATGGATTGAGGGTATTGTATCTCCTTAGTTAAATAACTTTATCTAGACCATAGATTAATCACGTAACTAAACCCTATATCATAATTCTCTAAATTCTAATATAGTGCATATGGTATGTTGTATACATCTTGGCGAATCAGAATCATTGATTATGTTCTTAGTATATGTGATATTAGGGTTTAAGTTCTATAGATTTAGGGTATATAATTTAATTATTTGAAACTTAATCTCCCTTCTGAAATTTCCTGCAATGAGAAGGAAATTAGGAAGAACATTTTTGCATTCACAATTATCTGTATTTTTTATTTATTTACAGAAAAAGATAGACATATTGAGATTTGAACCATGGTCACTAAGTGAAGGTTTAAAATCAATCAGACTATGTAGATTTGTTATATTTTTTTAAATTAAAAATATATACGAAGCTAAAATGTGAAATCAAAAAACTTTTCAACAGTTAGCTAGCCCAATAAATATTTTGTAAGTACTTATTTGGTGTTTTGATACTTCGATTTTGATTTTTTTTATTTTAATTATAGTTTAATACTTAATTTAAAATTTTATCTATCTTATAAATAGACGATAACCATAATTTTGCAACCAAACTATTGTTGATTCGAATATTTCATATCGAATTACAATATTGAATATGTAAAAGCGATATAGATTAAATTACCATTAATTTTCAGAACTATAGTGAAGCAATCATATCTTTGTGCAAACTATAGGGGACTGGTTCTCTGAACATTTTTGTCCGGTTAAATACTAAGCTTTAAATCTCTTCCTAGGGGTGTATGTGGGTCGGTTCGTTTGGGTTTAGATATATTAATCACCTAACTCATATACCACGATTTTGAAAACACTAAATACAAACTCACCAAAATAATTTAGAATTTTAACGATTTGTGTCCTCCATACCAAATGAACCAATTTACATGTCGCTTAACGAAGGACGATCTCATTGTCCAATCCCATCATTCTAATGTCAATCCATAAAAGTAACCCATATTCACATTTGTTAACACATGTTTCACATTGTCATTACTGTGACCGGTAACTTCGCTGCAACTGATTCGGTATTGCTCATCATATAGCCTCCAAACTAATAAACATATCGGGCCAGCAGTTTTATGAAAAAACTCAAAGTGAAGACAACTCATCGTCTGGTGGAATTTTGGCGCTTGTTGGTGTCCAATAATCTAATTGCAAGCATAATGATTGCTAAAATTAAGCTTTCACGCAACACACTAGGAGTTGGCGTGTGAACTTGGAGTAAAAGTTGATATTGGGTTTGGGAAGGGAAGTGGTGAGAGGAAGAAATTGTGTTTGGATTTGGTAGCAGGTAAAGTTCATGGTTCGGTTTCATTTCGTAAAATGCTTTGATTTATTTTAGTTAGAGGTATAATATCATGGTTATGTGGGATCAAATGAACCAAAAATGAGCATGGGGGATTGGAATTCCAACTTAGAAGGAGTGGATTAGATTTTGATAAACTCAGGTTCATGATTAACTGAAAGAATATTTAGATTTAGACTTTGTGGTATTGAGATGTTCATAGAGAGTTTAAAACTTATCCAAGGCCATGGATTGATATTGGTTAGTTGATTGTGATTTTGAGGAAGGTGTATAAAAAGTCATGGAAATTAGTTTGCAGCAAGTGAAGGCAGTGAAGAGGCAGTTGGTCAGGGTAGTGATTGAACCAAGGAGGGTATTTAAAGACATAGAAGCAAAATC